CTAACTTGATCTTAGAAACCTGAGAGCCCACAGGCTGAGCTGCTGCAGAGTTGCCCAGAAAGTTCCCTGCTGAGCTAGGAGGCTGCTGAGAAGAGGTGAGTGGGTGGATGGGGGGGCAGGAACAGTGGCAGATCTAATGGCAGGAATGGATGCAGGAACTCAAGGGGCATGTTAGGAAGGAAACCAAGGCGGCCACCATTCAGTCTGCCTTGCCTCAGTAGCCACTGCACAAAAGTAGTTATGTAACACCCAGCCTTAGGGGTACACACCTGTTTCCCGACACTTTCCATCAATACTCCCGAGTTCCATCTGTCCCGCTGACATTTTCCCAGGGGAAGGGATTCCTGTGTCAGGGTTGAGGCCAGGGTAGAGCTGGACGAACAGGCTTGGCCAGTCCTGCCTGAGGTCCTCCCCTCCCCTCCAGCTGCCATGGACGTGCTTCCTGCTCCAGCTGCCCAGCACCTGCCCAAGTCAGGCCTCTCCCTCAGTCCCGGCAGCATCTGCCTCTGCCCAGTTCTTCCCAGGGCACTAATCTCGCTCCCTGGACTTTTGATGACTTGCTTTTCGTCTGTCCATAAGATCTCCTCCCAGACCTCAATGTAGTGGTGCCTCTAACCAGCTAAGTTTCTGCTCAGTGTCACCTCAGAGTGGCTTTCCATGGCACGCCTCAATAAATAGGACAAATAGGACACAATCATCCGATTTGCGTGATCATGTTCAGCGGTGTCTCACTAGAGGGCATCTTTGTCTACTGTCGTACCCCCAACCCCCTAATCCTAAGAACCCATTGAACAACTTTTTGTTTTGTTTTGTTTTTGAGACAGGTGTTCTCTGTGCAGTCCTGGCTGCCCTGGAACTCACCCTGTAGACCAGACTGGCCTCAAACTCACAGAGATCAGACTGTCTCTGCTTCCCGAGTGCTGGGATTAAAGGTGTGCGTCACCACAACCACGTCTTGAATAACCCTTTTATTTTGTTTTATTTTGTTTTGTTTTTTGTTTTTGTTTTTCGAGACAGGGTTTCTCTGTGGCTTTGGAGGCTGTCCTGGAACTCACTTTGTAGACCAGGCTGGCCTCGAACTCACAGAGATCCGCCTGCCTCTGCCTCCAGAGTGCTGGGATTAAAGGCGGGCGCCACCAACGCCCAGCTTGAATAACCCTTTTAATAAGGTGAAAGGTTTATATGAACATGTGGGTCACTCCAGGCAATTTAACGATGGCATAAATCATTATTACTCTAAATATTTCCTTATCTATTCTATAAGATGTTAATGATGACCCCAAAGAAGAGCAGGAATTATTCCTCCCACCCCACTCCCTGGCAAGAAAGCACTTCATTTTCCTTTAGGTTACAAAAACAAGATCTAAAAACATTCATCATCAAGCCAGGCAGTGATGGCGCATGCCTTTAATCCCAGCACTTGGGAGGCAGAGGCAGGAGGATCTCTGTGAGTTCAAGGCCAGCCTGGTCTACAAAGCTACACAGAGAAACCCTGTGACAAAAACTCAAAAAAAAAAAAAAAAGAAAGGAAGGAAGGAAGGAAGGGAAACAAAATAAGAATTAATCACCAAACCTTTCAAAGACTGCAATTTGTGCTGGCGAGACCTAGGTCCTGCTTCGTGCAAGCAAGTCTGTCAACCTTCTGAACTCCATATCCTTTATTCAGGGAATACCGGGAGGTGGGTGGCTAGAAAGATGGCTCAGAAACTAGCAGTTCCGACTGCTGGTCGAGAGGACCGGGTTTGATTCCCAGCATCCAATGAGCATCTGTAACCCTAACTCCAGTTCCGGAGACTCCAACACCTGAGTTTTGCCAGCACTAGGCACGCACGGGGTGCACTGATATCCACGCAAGCAAAACACCCATGCGCGCACAAAACATAATAAAATGTTACTTTAAAAAAAAAAAAAGGAAATACTCTGGGCTCCCTAGATGCTGTAAGAACCCTTTAATTAGAAGCTCCAGTCTGTCCCCACTGGTCATGCCTGCTTCCTGGAACAACAACGGCGGCGTAAGCAGAGATAGCAGTCCCGCCCCTGTGCCAACTTCTATCACGGCCAGTTCTCAAACCCCGAGATGGGACAGTGTTCCCCTCCACCGGAACGGAAAGAACTCTCTAATAGTCTTTGGTTCTGAGTAGGCGATCCTTGAACCCTCGCTGCCAACAATCAGCCTTGAAGCGAACTTGACCACATCGTCTTCACCACCTGCGTTTTGCAAGGGGAGGGGGACGGGGCCACACGGAAAGGTCACACAGCTAAGTAACAGGCTCGGAGTGGAACCCGATGCATCTCTTTCTCACAGTTGTCAGTTGAGTCCGTCACAGAAATTCCCGCCAATGAGTCGCGGACCTCTTAATCTTCGGGAGCATCCTCAAAGGAGGGCCCAGGGATCGCCCGGTTCCTGCGGGGCCAGAACTTTTGGGGCTGCCGGACAGAAATCCGTCTTTTTTCAAAACCTCTCCAAATCTTTCTTCGCGTTCTGTTGGGCATTTCCATCCAGCAGTTGGGAAACTTCCAGCAGACTGATCACCCATCCTACCTTCAACTTTGAGGACCGCTTTCGTTAAGCCCAGCCCCACCCTGCACTGCGCCTGCGCCCACGGCAGCCGCGTCTCGACATTGCCATCTGATGGACACACAGCGAAACTGCAAGCGCAGCCCTCTCCCTCTGCAACCAGGGCTTCCCTCCAATTATGCTCTCCCCGCACCTCTTTGGAATACAAAAAATGAAAAGCAGTTTCCCATAGCGATCTCAGACAAGTACGGCAGATCTGCTTCTGTGAACACACAAACAAATGAACTAAGAATAAATCTGGCTGGGGTATAGCTTTGCAGCATGTCATCTGCACAGGGGGTACTCGGTTCAATCACAGCGTTTAAAAAATGCCTTTAATTAGAACAATAACAAACAAAACACTTGAAGAAGAAAGACAAGCACATGGTCATTCATTCTGTTAGGATCACCAGTGGGTGGAGGGTTAGCGGTTCCAGGGATGAAATCCAAAGCCTGTTACACTCTGCAAGTTCGAGGCCAGGGCTCTAGCGAGCCACATCTCAGCACCAATACAAGAAATTCTTCTGGTGGAATTTAGCGTTGGTAAAAGATGTTAAGAAGGGTAACTAGCACCGGGCGTTGGTGGCGCACACCTTTAATCCCAGCACTTGGGAAGCAGAGGCAGGCAGATCTCTGTGAGTTCGAGGCCAGCCTGGTCTACAAGAGCTAGTTCCAGGACAGCCTCCAAGGCCATAGAGAAACCCTGTCTCAAAAAAACCAAAAAAAAAAAAAAAAAGAAAAGAAAAGAAAAGAAAAGAAAATCAGATATAAACCGGGCGTTGGTGGCGCACGCCTTTAATCCCAGCACTTGGGAGGCAGAGGCAGGCAGATCTCTGTGAGTTCGAGGCCAGCCTGGTCTACAGAGCGAATTCCAGGACAGCCTCCAAAACAATACAGAGAAACCCTGTCTCGAAAAACCAAAAAAAAAAAAAAAAAGGTAACTAGCTATTTAAGGCAAGAAGACTGATGAGAGTTCAAAGCCAGCTGGGCTATATAATGAGTTCAGGCCAGCCTGAGCTACCTGTCTGGAAAAAAATTAAAAAGCTCTAAAAAGTGATGACCAGGGTTCCAAAGGAAAGGAACTGGTTCTGAAGGGTCTGCTTTAGGAGGATGGTCAAGGATGGCTTATGTCTGGAGTTGGCTTGGTACTCAGGAATTAACCATGTAACACAAGGGGGAGCCAGTGTGCCTGGGACATCACAAAGGAGTTAACACCATGGAGAGGTGGAAGAAGTATCGGCTTGCAAGGACCTGCAGCCAGCATGGCGGGCACCCTGTCTCAAAACTACCCCACCCTCCCAAAAAAGGAGAGAGAGAGAGAGAGAGAGAGAGAGAGAGAGAGAGAGAGAGAGAGAGAGAGAGAGAGAGAGAGAGAGAGAGAGAGAGAGAGAGAAGAGAGAGAGAGAGAGAGAGAGAGAGCAAGAAGTGATGATGCTCTGCCGAGATAAGAGTTTCGAGGACCAAGCTCTAAGGTTTGGGAGTAGGAGAGAGATGGGGAGAGGAGAGGGCGGTGTGTGAGCAGAGCCCACAAGGAGGCGCTGTTGACATCCGGTGACTTGTGGCCAGGGAGTGACTCAGTGTGGAGAATAACTTAATTTCCTGGAATTAAGGAGGCAGAGGACCTCAACTAATGGGCCTAGGAGGGCCAAAGGGGAGAAATGAGGGAAAGTGACAGTTACACATATTACTGTGAACTTTAGAATATCAAAACCAAAGAAACCCCTAATAGTCTTCGCTGAGAAGGAGCCATAGCTGACAAAGCTCGCCTCTCTCTGAGCAGCAGCTGCCTGCTTTGGACAGGGCAGAGCGAGCTGTGCCACAGGTGGGGGTGTCTAGCAACTCCTCGCAAGCCCAGCCTCCTTGCCTGGTTGACATAAACTCAGAATCTGTGCTGACCCACGAATGGAAGTGAAGAGTTTTGTTCCCAAGTTGATACCATTCAGGGAACGGGGAAGATGGCTTCGTGGATAGAGCACTTATCCCCCAGCCATAAGGTTCAGGGTTCAGATCCCCAGAATCCAGGTAAAAGGCAAGAAGGCTTGATAGCTGTTTGTAATCCCGGCACTCAGGAGGCAGGGGCAGGTGGCTCTCTATGAGTTTGAGGTTAGCCTGGTCTACAGAGTGGGCTACAGGCAAGCCAGAACTATGTAATAGGGGGACCCCCTCTAACAAAGTGGAGTATAATCCAGGGGAAAACATCCCCAACATCAACAAAAACCCACATACATGTGAACACCCATACATACACATATGCCCACAAGCCACACACATATACATATGCAAAAAACACAAATGCAGTCGGGCGGTGGTGGCGCACGCCTTTAATCCCAGCACTCGGGAGGCAGAGGCAGGCGGATCTCTGTGAGTTCGAGGCCAGCCTGGTCTACAAAGCGAGTTCCAGGACAGCTTCCAAAACAATACAGAGAAACCCTGTCTCGAAAAAACAAAACAAAAAACAAAAAACAAAAAAAAATGCTTCAAAAGTTCTGCAAACAGGATATGGTGACACTTTCTGCAAACAGGGTATGGTGACACTTGCTATCCCGGCACTAGGGATGTGAAGGTGGGGGGACCATGAGTTCGAACTCCCTACACCATCTAGGCTGGCCTCAAATTCACAGCAATCCTCCTGCCTCAGCACAACAAGTGCATGAGGCCCATACCTGACTCAGAAACTTGTCTTTTAAAAGCAGTGTGTTCCATGACGTGTTCACCCTGCGGAGCAGTTCTTTAGTCAGCCACGGGCTCCCCACAGAGAACAAAGGCCCAGAACACAGCTGTCTTGTACGCAGACCCACAGATGGAACATGTGTGCTCCTGACTCCTTGCAGTCCAACCTCGTGCCAGAACAATCAAGAGGATAAAGAGCACTTTTAAGGACTGATTCTGTGGAACAGGAAAACAGCTCAGTGAGTAAAGTGCTTGCCATGTAAGTGCAAGGACCTGAGTTAAATTCCCAGGACCCCACATAGAAAAAAAAAAGATGTACAGTGGTGTATACTTGTAATTCTAGTGCTGGGAAGACAGGCAGAAGGATTCCTGAGGCTCGCTGGCCAGCCAGCCTGAACTACTTGGTGATCTCCAGGCCAATGTGAGAAATTGCCTCAAAATTGAAGTTGGGTATGATGACAAATGCCTTTAATCTCAGTACTCCAACAAAGACGCAGGCAAATCTCTGTGAGTTCAAAGCCAGCCTGACCTACCTAGAGAGTTCCAGAACATCTAGGGCTACATAGAGAGAGCCTACCTCAATATATGTATATTCAAAAAACCAAGGTCAGTGGCTTGTGAAGAATGATATCTGAGGCTGGTCTCTGAGCTCCACAAGCACAGGTGTGTACATGTGCTTCCACAAGAATGGGGGTGGGGTGGGGAAAAAAGTATTAGCCAGAAAAAGCAAAAGGGAAGCAGGGCACACCTGTCACTCATCAGTCAGAAACAGACCACTATGTGTCAGTATGTTAAACAGCCCAGAGTTGAGTTAAGGCTAAGCCTGTGTGCCCATTCCTTCTTGACCTCCCAGGCCAGGGAAGAGGAGACTACTCTTTGTCACAGTGTGACTCAGAGTTCCTGGTTTTTTTGTTTGTTTGTTTTTTGTTTTTTGTTTTGGTTTTTCGAGACAGGGTTTCTCTGTGGCTTTGGAGGCTGTCCTGGAACTAGCTCTTGTAGACCAGGCTGCCCTCGAACTCACAGAGATCTGCCTGCCTCTGCCTCCCAAGTGCTGGGATTAAAGGCATGCGACACCAACGCCCGGCTGGAGCTCCTGTTTTAAACTTGCACAGTATGATGCCCCAAGAGACACTCATCTCACTACTTTCTGCTGTGTACGTCCAGTCATTTGTGTGAAGCTTTTAATAACTATGCTGATGCAGGGATTCTTAAACTAGGTTCAGGGATGCATATCAGCACATAGAAACTTACCTTGTGTGCACAAATGTGTGGGCGGTTTGAAGGGTGGTTTCTTTCCACACTCTCAAAAGTGATACAGGATTGACAAAATCAGGTTCCACGAGGGGAGTCTTCCCACAAGAGTGTCCTGCTGGGCACATTGAATGAAGGTCAGTCACTTCTGGACTGGGCTAACAATACTTTACATTCTCTGTTGCCTACTCGCCTGAATTCCTCCCCCTGTGAGAAGAACGTGGTTTTAGGATTATCCTAAAACTCATTCAGGCCATGATTGTTATGTGTTGCTTTGTGTTTTAGGTACTAAGGTTCAATGTCTCTGAGTGGTTCTAAGCATCAAACTAGAACTTTGGGGCATGCTGGGAAGTGTTTAGTTTATTTGGGTTTTGTTGTGTTTTTGTTTTGTCCTGGAACTCAATTTGTAGCCCAGGCTGGCCTGGAACTCAAGGAACTGGCCAGCCTCTACTCAGGAGCGCTGGGATTAAAGGTGAGTGCCACCATTCCCAGTGCTGGGAAGTGCTTTATCACAAGTAACTAGCTACCCTAGCTCTCATGCACCAGGCTTTTAAAAACATCTTTTGGATTTGTTTGTACGTGAGTGTTTTGCCTGCATGTGTGTGCACCATGTGTGCCCAAGGAGGTGAGGAGTGTTGGATCCCCTGGAACTGGAGTTGACTCTGAGCCAGCATGTGTGTGCTGGTAACCAAGCCAGAGGCCTCTGAAAGAGCAACAAGTGCTCTTAACCACTAAGCCGGCTCTTCAGTCCTGTGTGCCAGGTTTTAAAGGACTCTACCTGCCCAGATACAAGGATCAAAACACACAACGCACTAAGGCAGCAGTCTACTTGAGATTGCCTCTGATAACTTGAGTCAGGAGACTTAAGCCAAGGAGTGTTGACAGTGGGACATGTCACAAGCGTCACTAGTAGAGAAAACCAAAGAGATCTCTGAGAAGTTAACAACTAAACTGGCTGGGCGTGGTGTCATATGCCTTTAATCCCAGCACTCGAGAGGCAGAGGCAGGCGGATCTCTGTGAGTTCGAGACCAGCCTTGTCTACAAGAGCTAGTTCCAGGACAGCTCCAAAGTCACAGAGAAACCCTGTCCTGAAAAAAACAAATAAACAAAAACACTTGAATTGAGTACTGACTTAGTCAGTGTCCTCCCACCCAAGAAAGCTCTGGCTCTCCTGTAACAGGCTAGCCTTGAACTCAGATATGTCTGCCTCTGCCTCCTGAGTGAAAGCCATGTGCCATCATGCCTGCCTGGCCTTAGTCACTGTTCTATTGCTGTGAAGAGACACCATGGCCATGGCATTTAACTGGGCCTGGCTTACAGTTTCAGAGGTTCATTGCATTATCATCATGGAGGGAGCATGGCAGCGTGCAGGCCGACATGGTGCTAAAGAGGCATCTGAGAGTTCTACATCAGCAGTCATAAAGAGAGAAACACTGAGCGTGGCTTGGGCATTTGAAACCCCAAAGAAAGAGGAAATTGATTCCCAAAAGTAGTTGTCCTCTGACCTCCACGTGAACACCATGGGTAGCAGGTACTTTTTTTTTTTTTTTTTTGGTTTTTCGAGACAGGGTTTCTCTGTGTCTTTGGAGGCTGTCCTGGAACTCATTTTGTAGACCAGGCTGGCCTCGAACTCACAGAGATCCGCCTGCCTCTGCCTCCCGAGTGCTGGGATTAAAGGCGTGCGCCACCACCGCCCGGCGTGTAGCAGGTACTTACTCTCTCTCTCTCTGTATCTATCTATCTATCTATCTATCTATCTATCTATCTATCTATCTATCTCTTTCCCTCCCTCCCTCGCTCCCTCTCTCCCTCCCTCTCACCACACACACATACTAAAGAAATCAATGTTAGACCCGGGCGTTGGTGGCGCACGCCTTTAATCCCAGCACTCGGGAGGCAGAGACAGGCGGATCTCTGTGAGTTCGAGGCCAGCCTGGTCTACAAAGTGAGTTCCAGGACAGCCTCCAAAGACACAGAGAAACCCTGTCTCGAAAAACCAAAAAAAAAAAAAAAAAAAAAAAAAAAAAAAAGGAAATCAATGTTAGAAAAAAGTTAAGAAAGAGAAGGTCCCTGTGAGGGGGAGGGAAGCAGAGCCAGGAAATCCAAGGGCAGATGCTGTCATAGAAACAGTGGGAGGAGATGCTGCTACCATAGAAACAGAGGGAGGAGTTGGGAGATTAATTATGCTTTAGTCAGTAATGGAGGAAGGGAGACTTGAAGTTGAACCCAGTGTGGTCTAACTTGATGCTATCAAAAATTTAAAATCAAGTTTTAGCCTGATGTGGCAGCACACTACTTTAATCCCAGCACTTGGGAGGCAGAGGCAGTTGAATCTCTGTGAGTTGGAGGCCAGCCTGATCTACAAACTGAATTCCAGGATAGCCAGGGCTGTTACACAGAGAAATACTGTCTTGAAAAAAAAAGGGGTGGGACTGGAGAGATATCTCAGAGATGAAAAGCACTCGCTGTTTTTCCAGAAGTCCTGAGTTCAATTCCCAGCAACCATGGTGGCTCACAACCATCTATAATGAGATCTGGTGTCTTCTGGTGTGCAAGCATACATGCAGGCAGAACACTGTCATAAATAAATAAATAAATAAATAAATAAATAAATAAATAAATAAATAAATAACAAAACAAAAATTTTAAATCAAGGAAGAGCCAAAGCCAGACATGGCAGGCCTCTTAATGGAAAATCCAACCTATCCAAGACCCAAATCTGAGTCTTCTTGAACTTCTGAATCTAGCAGGAAATCATTGCCGGAAATCCACACAACACAGGGGCATGAACCACATATCCAGACAGGTCAGAGATGGGCCACATGATCGTCATTCTTTCACTTGGGCATTAGTGGAAAAGAAAAGGAGAAGATCGTAGATTAAGAATCCACAGCCTTGGCCAGACGTTGGTGGCGCACATCTTTAATTCCAGCACTTGGGAGGCAGAGGCAGGCAAATCTCTGTGAGTTCAAGGCCAGCCTGGTGTACAGAGCAAGTTCCAGGACAGCCTCCAAAACAACACAGAGAAACCCTGTCACAAAACAAAAACAAAAACAAAAAGAAGAAGAAGAAGAAGAAAGAAAGAAATGTTTTGTATGTATTTATTTATTTTGCCATGTAACAGTCTAGCCCTGACTGTTCTGGAACTTGCTTTGTAGACCAGGCTTGCCTCTAACTCACAGAGATCCTTCTGCCTCTGCCTCCAGAGTATTGGGATTAAAAGTATATACTACCACTGGCCAGCTTATTTAGAAAGTTTTAAGTTGACCCAGCATGGGGGTAAATACCTTTTACCTTTTATTCCCAGCCTTTGGGAGGCAAAGGCAGGTGGGTCTCTGATTTGGAGGCCAGCCTGGTGTACAGAGTGAGTCCCAGGTCAGCCAGGACTAAGTAGAAAAATCTGTCTCAAAAAAAAGACAAAACAAAGCAAAAAAGAAAGTCGGGTGTTGGTGGTGCACACCTTTAATCTCAGCACTTGGGAAGCAGAAGCAGGTGGATCTCTGTGAGTTTGAGGCCAGCCTGGTCTACAGAGTAAGTGCCCGGACAAGCTCCAAAGCTCCACAGAGAAACCCTGTTTCTAAACACACACACATGCAAAAAAGAGAAAGTTTTTTTTTTTTTAATTTTGGTTTTGAGACAGGGTTTGGAGGCTGCCCTGGAATTAGCTCTTGTAGACCAGGCTAGTCTCGAATTCACAGAGATCCGCCTGCCTCTGACTCCCCGGAGTGCTGGAATTAAACGTGTGTGCCATCACCGCCCGGTGAAAGTTTTAATTTTTAAAACTTAACAAAATCCATTTAAGTTTACAACTCAAAAATTGTATCTATCCATTCTGGTCAGCTTGCACTCTGGAGCACCATCTAATGCTTGTCCATGGAAACAGGCACACATTGACACATCAAGCTAGAATTTCAGTCCTTTCCACTCACTTGCTAATCAAGCATGAAATGTAATTAGATCTGACTCATTGGCTTGCCCGCTCTCAAGTGGATGAGTGATGCCAACACGTGACTATCCTTTGTGTGCTGGCCTGGGAGAGACTTAGTCCCTTCATCTCTGCAGTGTTCTGCCACAGGGCACTCAAGAGTAGCCATGGCTGCTGGGTGAATCTGACGCCAGTGAACAGAACCACGACACAGTCTGAAGAAGTAAGGGAACAGACTGTGATGTTAAGAAAATAGCATTTATCCCCTGTCACAATACTCTCTTGGCTGTAGGCTCCAATATCCCTACAGAATAAAAATCATCCTAGGGCCTGGCATGGTGGCACCTTTAATCCTAGCACTTGAGAGGCAAAGGCAGGTGGCTCTCTGTGAGTTTAAGGTCAGCGTGGTCTATAGAGGAGTTCCAGGACAGCCAGAGCTACACAGGGAAACCCTGTGTCAAAAGCAAACAGACAAAAACAAAAAGAAAAAAAAAAAAGAATATGTCAGTAAGTACTTAGGAAATGCCCAGCATCTAAAGGGTCTTCTCTTGGTCAAATAAATGCCTTCTAAGAGCTACCCAGCTGTGAAGTATTGCTGCTCTTTTCTCTTTAAATTATATTTGTAGCCGGGCGTTGGTGGCGCACGCCTTTAATCCCAGCACTCGGGAGGCAGAGGCAGGCGGATCTCTGTGAGTTCGAGGCTGGGCTGGACCGACAGCCTCCAAAACAATACAGAGAAACCCTGTCTCGTAAAACCAAAAAAAATTTTTTTAAACTTATATTTGTTAACCGGGTGGTGGGGGCACATGCCTTTAATCCCAACACTTGGGAGGCAGAAGCAGGGAGATCTCTGTGAGTTCAAGGCCAGCCTGGTCTACAAAACTACACAGAGAAATCCTGTCTCAAAAAACCAAGAACAAAAATGACATTTGTTTCTTTCGATGTGTGGGGGCATGCGTGGGTCGCAACACTGGGGTGGAGGACACCTGTGGTTCTCCTCTACCATGTGGGCTTCCAAGAGTCAAGGTCAGGTCCTCATATTTGATGACAAGGGGTGGCCTTTACCCTGTGCCTGTGTCTCCAGGCCTTCCTGCATTCTGTACCCAGGAAGTATTTTCTCACAGTGCTTCCAGTACAATGCTCTGGAAAATCATCCTATTGAAGGAATGGGCAGCGTTGCATGGAGAGGGAAGAAGCTGTAGAAATGTAGCCCTCTCGATGCTTCAGGTCGTGTTGCTTTACAGCTGGCCTCAAACTCACAGAGATCCTCCTACCTCTGCCTACCGAGCACTGGCATTAAAGGTGTGCGCCACCACTGCGCTGCCCTTTACAAAGGAGTTTTAAGGAGGCAGTTGGCTGCTAATTCTTGCTTTCCTGAGTAGCGATTTCTCCACAGGACAAAACACTGAGTGCTTGCTCCAAAGGGCATGTTCACTCACAGGGATAGGGATGGATTTTTATTTACATATATGTGTGTGCCTGTGAGTTTATGTGCACCGTGTAAGTTCAGGTGCCCAGGGAAACTGAACTGAGTCACAGGCAGCTGTGAGCACCTTTTGTGGGTGTTGCCAACTGAACCTGGGTCATGTGACAGAGGAACAAACGCTCTAAACCTCTGACCCATCCCTCCGGTCTCCTCCCACCAGCAATCTAATTCAAACCCTAATTAAATGAGTTGGTAGATTGCATTGTGTTTTTCTTTTCTGTTCTTTTTGTCTGTTGTTTGCTGGTGCTAGAAACTGAACCCGGAGGCTCCCACTAGGTCCTAGGGGTAAAATGTGGAAGTCTTCCTTTCACAAGGGCTCTTTGTCTCATTTGTCAGTTTGTAAGGACAAAGGAGACACCTGTAAGCTGTGGCCCAGTTTCTCTTCTCTCCTTTCTGTGTGGGAAGGTTTATAGGTGCATCTGCCTCATATAGGAGTTAAGTATTAAGAAATATTAGGAAGCTGGGTGATGGTGGCGCTCGCCTTTAATCCCGGCATTTGAGAGATAGAGGCAGGCAGATCTCTGAGTTCAAGGCCAGCCTGATCTACAGAGTGAGTCCCAGGGATGTTTTACAGAAGAACGCTGTCTTGAAAAACAAAGTAAAATAAAGAAATATTAGGGGGTCATTTGTCAATAGAGAAAAAGAGCCTCTGATCTTTAGCCTGCCCCTTGTAATCAATAATGGTGACATGGCAGTCTCTACCTGCTGACAACTTGCTCTTCTAGCTCAATTGCTCTAGAACCCAAATGGCAATGAGGGATACAGGCACTACACTCCTCAAAGATCCCAACATGGTCATTGGTTAAGTATTAGCAATTTGAGATCACTACTAAGAAAGCAGCCATGGAATTTGTCTGAAATGTCAATAGTTAGGATGCGGAGACAGGAGGATTGCAGCACAGTCTGGGCTACAGAAGGAGACACTGTCTGTCCTGAACTGTCTGAGAATGAGCTATAATTATCCAGTTTCAGATTCGAGAGGGTGAGCTCTAAGTATATAGCAAGCTACAGTGACAGAGTAAGTAGCTAGTGAGATGGATAATAGACAGATGATATGTTAGACAGAGATGCAGACAGGCTGACCGATTAGATAGATACAGAGATAGACAGACAGACAGGTACTCAGGTACTCAAAGCATCCAGATGTTGGGGAAGCCCTGCTGGAGTTCCCTATAGAGAATCCTGACAGAACACAGAGCCCGTCAGGTGAGGTTTCCAAGTAAAAGAACAAAGAGTAACAGATATAGATATAATTATCAAATTGTATTCTCCAGCAGTTGGGATATGTGGGAATGTGCAGTTGAGCCTTCCCTCTGTGGCTGAAAGTCTGCTTTGCTTTTCCATTGCCTGACTCTTACACCATGCAATAAACAGCAGCCTTTGTAGGAAGTAGGTATTGTCCTGCTCCTGCTCATTTGAAGGACACGATGGTTTTTTGTTTGTTTAGTTTGGCTTGGTTGTTTGTTTTAGTTTTTTCAGACTGTCCTGAAACTCACTTTGTAGACCAGGCTGGCCTCAAACTCAGAGATCCACCTGCCTCTGCCTCACATGTGCTGGGGTTAAGTGTGCACCACCACCTCCAGGCCAAGGACAAGATGTTTGTTTTTTGCCTGTCCTGGAACTCGCTCTGTAGATCAGGCTGGCCTCAAACTCAGAGATCCACCTGCTTCTGCCTCTCAAGTGCTGGGACTCAAGGCATGTGCCACCAACTCCCTGCTGGACAAGATGTTTTTACCTCAGGCGTTTTGCTATTCTGTCCCCTCTCTGTCACCCAGTTAGGTGGGCAGTCCAAACCTAGACAAACAGCCTTGCAGGACACTTTGAGACAAACAGCTATAGATCTGAAATCCAGGTCATGGAAGTGGAATTTTTCCTCAGGACCACTAGTCAGCTCTGTCCAGCCAGCTGGCTCCCCAAAGAACCATACAGGGACTTATTAAGTATAAATGATTGGCTACTAGCTTAGGCTTGTTACTAACTAGCTGTTACATCTCTTGCTTCATCTATGTCTCTTTGAGACTCCTGAGACTCTTGTGACTCTTCCTCCTCCCATCATCCTCTCTCCCCAAAAATCTTGCCTAGCGATGGGCCGCCAGCTATTTATTAGTGAGAGTAACGGATATTCCTAGTGAACAAAAAGATTGTTCCACAGCAAGGTACACACCCCATTTCCAGAGCCGGTTCTCCTGGGCTTGGGCAGTGCATGTCAATTTCACCTATATAATGTGTACTACACAGTCTCAAAAGATGGAACAAATCTTAGCCCTTAGTCAGGAATGGTGGTACATGCCTAGTTACTGCCAGGTCTGAAGCCAGTATTTAAGGACAGTGTGGGCAGTTTAGAGAGATTATCTAAACAAACAAACAAATAAATAAACAAGCAGCTAGCATGGTTGTTTATGCCTGTAATCCCAGCATTCCAAAGGCTGTGGTTTAGGCCTATAATTTCAATACTCGGGAGCCTGAAGTAAGAGGACTGCCCCCGCCGGGCAGTGGTGGTGCACGCCTTTAATCCCAGCACTCGGGAGGCAGAGGCAGGTGGATCTCTGTGAGTTTGAGGCCAGCCTGGTCTAGAGAGTGAGTTCCAGGACCATCTCCACCTGTGCCACCAAGCTCCATTCTGATAATGACCCATAATGAATTATATTCCTCTCTCTGTTCGTCTACTAACTCCCATTCAAATCTAGAGCCCATCTCTAGTGATTAAGACTCACTGACACCTGCTGGGCTGTGGCGGTGCACCCCTTTAATCCCAGCACTCAGGAGGCTGAGGCAGGTGGAGCTCTGTGAGTTCAAAGCCAGCCTGGTCTACAGATCCAGTTCCAGGGCAGCCAGGGCTACACAGAGAAACCCTGACAAATAACAACAACAACAAAAAAAAAACAATCAAAAAGACAAAAAAAGACTTACAGCCTTTTTTGGCTTCCTATTATCTCATTTGCATCTTTGGTTTGCACAGATTACTTCACTAATTTTTTTTTTAAGGAAGTTGTGCTTATAGAAACGAGAGCTGTTGCTGGGCAGTGGCAGTATACGCCTTTAATCCCAGCACTCGGGAGGCAGAAGCAGGCAGATCTCCGTGAGTTCAAGGTCAGCCTTGTCTTCAAAGAGAGTTCAGATCTCTGTGAGTTCCAGGCCAGCCAGGGTAGGCTCCAAAGCTACACAGAGAAACCCTGTCTCAAAAAACAAACAAACAAACAACAAAAAAGAGAGAGTTCCAGGACAGTCTCCAAACCTACAGAGAAACCGTCTCAAAAAAAAAGAAAAGAAAAGAAAAAAGAGAAAGAAAGAAGCAGAGAAACAAGAGCCGCTCCCAGGCAAGGCACAGGGTAACGTCCCACTTGGGACTACTCTTTATTGAGAGAATGGAGTCCACAAGATAAGTTAGGTTTCTCCTGCAGCAAGGTGACAAGCATTCAGCCTTCCAGTCTTCACTACCCCCTAAGAAGGGCTTGTAGCCATTTTTAGCATAGTAATTTAGGAGTTAATTTTCCAGCTTAAAATAGTGCTGGATTCTCCTCGCATACCCCTTGTTTTTGCAGGCATGAGAAAATTCATTTCCTCTCAGCTACAGTTCAGACAGGAAAAACCTTCCAGCCCTCAGTGGCCCTTATTTAGTGAAGTTTTCTTATAAATTGTCTCCACCTGGTAGTCCTAGTGCTCCCCCCAGTACTCCCCCAGTGCTCCCCCAGTGCTCCCCCAGTGTTCCCTCCATCCTTTGCGCTGTTGTTTAGTACTTATGGAAAAGGCAGCTTTGACAACCGGATGCTGCAATCAGGACTTCTCTCCTTTTTCCCCAGCCCAGCCGTCTCCCTAATCACCCAACGTTATCTCCTCACGCATGTCCTTCCAGACTTTGGGGTGTACCTCTGCAAAGATACATGTACGTTTACAGCCATGCTTTTGTATTAGAGAAAGTCTCATTATATAGCCCTGGCTGGCCTAGAACTCGCTATGTAGACCAGGCTGGCTGGCTTCAGACTCACATCTACCTGTCTCTGCCTTCCCAAGTACTGGGATCAAATGTGTCCACCACCACACACAGCAACATGTCAGCTTCCTTTATGTACAGCTGTGTGTTAAATCAGGCTTTTCTGGCCCGTTACACTGTATAGTTTCTGGCTGTACAGGAATTTGAAAAATCTGATTCTCCACCAGGACAACCTCCCAGGGTGCCACGCTAGAACACGGCTTGAGTTCGCTGCCGCTTGCTATTATTAGTCTTGGTCTCAAGTTCATTCATTTAAGTCACTTACTGGCTTCCTAACTAGGCACTGTTCCAGGCACTGGGGACAGGCTGAGAGCAAATCTCTGCCTCTCTAGTGTGTCTGCCACCTGGAAGGGGAAACAACATAATATAGGTTGTTAGTAGATGATGCACCCCAAGGAAAAGCTAGGGAGAAAGAATAGGGAATTCCAAGAGGAGACCAGAGGGAAAAAAAAAGAGCCAAGAGCAAATAGGAAGTCGGGGGTTTGGTGGCGCTCACACCTTTAGTCTCAGCACTCGGGAGGCAGAGGCATGTGGATCTCTGTGAGTTCGAGAGCAGCCTGGACTACCAAGGGAGTTCCAGGACAGCCTCCAAAGCCACAGAGAAACCCTGTCTCAGAAAAGAAAAAAAAAAGATTTCAGCTTAGTTCACTTTGGAATAGTCAGCATTTTCACCATGGTGGGTTTTTGTTTGTTTTGTCTTTTAATGATGTGAAAAAATACTTTTACTTGGGCATAAAACTGGAGAAAACAGAAAAAACTAGAGAATAATGTTTGAGGTTTATGTCAGTATGTTTTTTAATAACTTGAAAAGGTTAAATGCCTGGGATAATGTCTATATAACTAATAATCCACATAGCCCAGAAATAATTGTGTTTTGACAATGCAAATTCACTGACCACCAAACGATTTTATATATATCCATGTTTTCTGGTCCCTTTTACCCCTTTTACCCCTTTTTACTTCCAGTTACCTTGTGGCTTTTAAAGCCACTCCACCTTCTTGGGGGATCCCATTTTTTAAGTGGCTGTTTTGATTTCATCCTTCCAGTTTTATCCTGATCTTTAGCAATAAGAATGTATTATCACTATATTTATGACAATTTGTTAATGTGTAACTCTGCTCCTTTGACATTCTTACTAGTCTGAAGTTTGCTACTAGGGCAGGCAGGACTGGCTGTGCCGTCCTTAAGTGGGGCCAGTGGGAAAATTCCCAACACTAGGCACACAACAGACTACAACCAAATCTGGAATGGAAGAAACTTTGTGATTTCATCCTGTCAAACACGTTTACCTGAACGACCAGACTGAAAACGTGCATTTTTGTTTGCTGTACTTCCTAATGGATGTAAAAACTCTCCAAGTCACCCAGGCAAGTTCTTTTTTGTTCTGTTTAACCCTGAAGCACCATGGATAAAAGTGACAAGACAGAACTTGGTTCTAACAAAGGACGTCATTGGAGACCAAAACAGCTGAGACCCCCGCTGGCTTTGACACCCGGAACCCAGAGGAGAGACCAAAGGGCCCGCGACACACCCCTCCCTTCGCAATCGCAAACCCGGTGAGGGCCGTGGACAGCCGTGGGCCAGATGCCGGGGCCCCGGGACGCCAGCCCTGCACTGTCCCCGTAGTCCCGCAGGTTCTGCGGCGCCGGGCAGCAGGCGACTAATTCCGCTGACATTTTCTTTCCGAGAAAGGGGTGGGGACTCGAGCTGCGCGGCGAGGCAGGGGGCGGGTGCAGCTGCCCCAGGGCCACCCCCGAGAGGTGACTCACGCGGGAGGCCGTGCCCTGGCCGCGCGTCCCTCCCTGTCCCGGCAGGCCCCACCCAAGGGAACAAGGCATTGTGTCCCAGCCGAGTCCCCGGATGCCCGCCGCCCTCCCTGGTGTGGCCGTGACGTGGCCACGCCCCCGCGCTGCTCTGCGTGCCACGTCACCGCTTGCGGCACTTCCGGGGGCGCAGCGGGCGATGACGTAGAGGAACGTGCCCTCTATATGAGGTTGGGGAGCGCCCGAGTCGGCCTTTTCCGCCCGCTCCCCCTTCCCCCCGAGCGCCGCTCCGGCTGCACCGCGCTCGCTCCGCGCTGTCAGGCTAGCGCCGCTGTCCCCAGCCGCCACCATGATCATCTACCGGGACATCATCAGCCGTGAGTGCCGGCTGCCCCGCGGGTCTGGGTGCGGATGGGTGCGGGTGGGCTCGGGGGAGGCCGGGGCGCGAGCGCCGAGCTTGGGCCGGGAGCCGCCGCGTGCGCCCAGCCGGCGCGGGAAATGGCGGGCCTTCGCCCGGTGACCGGGGGCTCCCTGTCCTCTCCCTCAGATGACGAGCTGTTCTCCGACATCTACAAGATACGGGAGACCGCGGACGGGCTGTGCCTGGAGGTGGAGGGCAAGGTGAGCGGGGCGCCGCGGGGAGGCTGGGCGGGCTGGGCTTGCGGCTCCTCCGCTGGAGCTCGTGCAATCCTCCCAGCCGCCTCCAGGCGGAGGAGACGCTCTTTCCGGCCTTGGGTTTTTCTAGAAAAGTGGAGGCGGAGCCGAGCCTGGAAATAGGTCCGCGAACTCAGCGCCCATCCTCCTTCCGGGCGATCGGGGACACATTGTCTCCGTTTAACATATCTTGGCGCTGTGTGCGCTTAACCCGTGGCGATCCGAGAGCGCACAACTTCTCCGTTTGTTAGAGTGACCACAGTTTTCGGTCGGGGCAATGGTTCTTTTTTGTTGGGTTGAGGTGATCCAGGGAACTGACAGATCGTTGCTGAAGTGTAGAAGATAAGTTGGAGGTGGACTTTTTGCAATAAGGTTTTTTTTTTCTTAACGTAGATGGTCAGTAGAACAGAAGGTAACATCGATGACTCGCTCATTGGTGGGAATGCTTCAGCTGAAGGCCCAGAGGGCGAAGGTACCGAAAGCACAGTAGTCACCGGTGTTGACATTGTCATGAACCACCACTTACAAGAAACCAGCTTCACAAAAGAGGCCTACAAAAAGTACATCAAAGATTACATGAAGTCGTAAGTGAGATAAAACACTCTGTTTTGGTGGTCAGGGTCCTAGAAGACTTTTGTCACCTTCCTTGGTTATAAAGGATTTGAAAGGAGAACCTTTCTCAATATTATATGATATTGGGTTATACAATGGTGGCTGCTTTTCAGTAAAGTGAGCATACTGGAGTAAGTCAGTCCAGCTTTGACTTTGAAGAACAAACCGTTTGAGAGTTAATATGCTTACAACTAGAGTGTCTTATGCCACCTAGTGTAGTGTATCATTGTTTTGCTCATAGCCAGTAACCTTTTTGTTTGTAGGTTGAGGCTTGTATTCTTTTACTTTACTGGGAAAAAATTCAGGGTTTCTCTATTGTTTTGGAGGCTGTCCAGGAACTCCCTCTGTAGACCAGGCTGGCCTCAAACTCAGAGATCCGCTGAAAATTCAATGTTTTAATGACGTGTTGAAATTTATTGTTTTAGACTCAAAGGCAAACTTGAAGAACAGAAACCTGAAAGAGTAAAGCCTTTTATGACTGGAGCTGCAGAGCAAATTAAGCACATCCTTGCTAATTTCAATAACTACCAGGTAAATAACTGTAGGGATGGGAGGGATTTGTTATGTCTGCACATGGCCCTGACTTGGAACTCACTGCATAAGTTGGACTTTTCATTGAGACTTGAACCCTTCTCTGCCTCCTGAGTGCTGAGATTAAAGGTGTGTGCTAACACACAGGGCTTTTACTTGCCAAAAAGTTGGCTTGAATTTCCTGTTTTGTGGTTTTGTGTTTGTGAGTATGTAGCAGTCTAATTCTAGGTATTTGTTACTTGTTTTAAGTTTTTTATTGGTGAGAACATGAATCCAGATGGCATGGTGGCTCTCCTGGACTACCGTGAAGATGGTGTGACTCCTTTCATGATTTTCTTTAAGGACGGCCTAGAGATGGAAAAATGTGTAAGTATATGTTGAAAGGAGGAGTGATCTGTGCCATCTACAGATGGTAGGTGTGGGTTTTACAGAAGCCCTGTAGGTGGTGAGGTCTAGGCTCCTTTATGGGACCTAAGGAGAATAGTGCCTTCCACATAAGTGGGCCTGGAGGTAGAATAACTGCAGAGAGTGAGTGTGGCCTCGAGTAACTGTCTCTGCCCACAGTGGATTAAGTCCATTTCAGGTTGTGCTGCAGGCTTCCTTTTCTCCTGAGTTGACTAGGTTTTCTATAAGGAACTGAGTTTCAGAGGCTTTTGAGTAGCCTGGGTGGAAGGTGAGCTTGGAGCTGCTATACTGAGCTCTGGGACAGTCTGAGATGGGGGGAATCTGCAGGTTGGAGTGCTGCTGGCTTGGTAGGGGTAGTCTGCATCCACTGATAGACCTTGAACAGTTGTGGTTGTTCTTCTGGTTTGCACTAGGATGCGAAAGAAAATGCTCCCCGCGCTTCCTGCCTGTCTTTGTGGCAGTGCAGATTGAATTGGGGAGTACAAGTATACAGTAGGAAAGTTGGTACGTTCAAGCTGAGGGCAGCTCTTAATGCGATCTCCTTGTTTTGCAGTAACAAATTGGATCTATTACCTTTCGGCATAGCAGGCTGCTGCTTACCATCCATACAACACCAGGACTAAGGACAAATGGGACTGATATCATCTTGAGCTTTTATTTTGACCATGATTTATTTGGAGTGGAGACATTGTTTTTTTCTTTTTCTTTTTTTTTTTTTTTTAAAGAAAGAACATGTCATGTAGGTGTCTGAAAATAAAGTGCATTTAAATTCACTTACAAATGCCTCTGAGTTTAATGTGATTGCCTTGCTGGTGGTTGGCTCTACAGGAAAGCTGCCACGGGAACTGCCTACAAGAGTCCTGAGTTGCAGTGAAGGGGAAGATGTGAAGTGGACCCCTAACTTTCATCGGAGAGCTTGCTGGAAGCATAAGGACCAACTAGCTTGAAACAACACTGCTTATTTCAGAAGTAGAGCCAAGTCTCCCAGGATGGGTGCAGGATCCCTTATAAATAGGTGGCTTTGATTTTGGAGATGGTTTCTGCTAGCCCTGGCAATCCTGGACCCTAGACCTGAGTGGGACTAAAGGAGTGTGCCACCTGTGGTATCTAGGAAGCCATTGTCCTTGAACATGTTAGTGGATTTTCAGGCCCCTGTTAATTGTGGAAGAATCTTGAAGACCTGATACCTAGTTGTGCTAGGTAATGTATTTCAGGTTAAGGGGCTTTGTGGGGAGAACTGGAAGTAACAGTAGTATATACAATTAAAGTTTGGGTCCTTTAAAAAGTACATTTTGAGAAATGGTGTGTAAATGCAGATCCCTGTGCAGCTGGATTTTGACTTGAGGGTTGGAAACCAAAGATCTTGCTGATCCTTTTCTGTTTATTTTTTTCCTTTTGTTTTTTTTTTTTTTCAAGACAGGGTTTCTCTGTGGCTTTGGAGGCTGTCCTGGAACTAGCTCTTGTAGACCAGGCTGGCCTTGAACTCACAGAGATCCGCCTGCCTCTGCCTCCCAAGTGCTGGGATTAAAGGCGTGCGCCACCAACACCCGGCTTTCCTTTTGCTTTTTAAAGTTTTTGTGTATCCTTGGCTGTTCTGGAACTCAGATCATCCTGCTTCTGCCTCCCTAGTGATGGGCTTAAATTACAGGCGTGTGCTACCATTGCCTGGTGTTGTTCTGTTTTTGAAACAGCTCTTTACATTCCAGGCTGACTTCATATAGCTGAGGATAACCTTGCTCTGCCACCTGTGATTATAGCCCTATACTGCTGAGTTGATTTGGTCCTGGAAATTGAATCTAAGGCTTATGTTGTATAAGCACACCACCAACACAGGCTCCTTCTTCAACCCCTGGGGCTTCCTGGTTTTTTTTTTTTTTTTTTTTTTTTTTGAGCCTCTATAGAGATGGGTCCTTAAACTTCAATTTCTTAGTGCTAGGCCTTGAGGCTTGCATGACCATACCAGGCTCCCAACTTGTTTGGGAGACAACTTTCTCATTTTTCCTAATGGTCCCTGCACCTGCTATGTTCTGTATAACTGCCCAGACTTGGTTATGCCTTGTGTTTTATATCTGCAGTCATGAATAAAGCCCTGGTAGTTGTCTTTATTATTTTCTAGTTACTGCTAGAGCCACTCAAGAATAACAAGCACGGGTTCTTCTGCACAGGAGGGGTGTGTACCACGTGATCTTTCTGATGTCGCATTTGGTACAGGCAGGTTTCCAGTCTGGGCCCTGGGCTCTGTTTGCCTGTATGGAGAAGAATGGGATGGAGAAATGACTTCCAGTATTGTCTGTGAAAGCCTTTGCAGGGTGCCATTTGAATATAGACTGGCCACAGGGATGTCTGAAAGTGAGCCATTCAGGCCAAGAGAGTAAATGACTTCATCTTCTAAAATGTGTTGTGGGGTATTTACCAGAGAAGACTTCTCAGACATGGGTTTGAGCCAATGAAGTCTTTATTAGCCACTGGGTCTTCTGATTGCCAGGATAGCACTGAGGCTTTCTCAGGGTAAGCTTTTAACCACACCAAAAAAAAAAAAAAAGTGGGTTGACATACTTCATTTAACAAGAACGTTAGCAGAACTGCAGAAACCAAAAAGGTTAGCGACTTTCCCAGACCTAAGGACTTTGATGGGTTAGGTCTATGTTTTAGTTTTGGCAGGTGGTGCTGTCTACATGCTGTGGTTTTCTGTTTGTTTTTGTTTTTCCAGACAGGGTTTCTCGGTGTAAAAGCCCTGGCTGTCCTGGGACTATCTCTGTAGACCAGGCTGGCTTGAACTCTCAGAGATCCTCCTGCCTCTGCCTCCAGAGTGCTGGGATTGAAATCGTGCGCCACCACTGCCTCCGCCGCCGCCGCCGCCACCGCCACCACCACCACTGGTGGTGCATTTTACAGCCTGAATGGTGGTTTCATCATGGAGTTAGTTGTGCTAAGGTCTGAGGGCCTTGTTACATTCCCCACTGGTC